AGTTTCAGTTAACCTAATATAAAAGGTCGTGTTATAAATTTACTGTAAAAGATGTGAAAGTCCCAACATATTGTATTACAGACTTGGCCTTTTCTTTTCTTCTCTTTTTTTAAGAAAAATGTTTTATGTTGTTAAATATAGAAATAAATTATTAGCACTTTTGAGATCAAGGGATTTTATCAGGTAACAGATCAAATTTCTTTTGCATGCTTAATTTCAAGTTCATTATTTTTATTATTTATAGAAAACATTTTTATAAAGAAATGAGTAAAAATATAACTTAATTTAAACCATATGTCAAAATAAATATTTTTTTGTTTTTTGTTTTTTTTACTTGATATTACAATTGGTGCAGACACATTCTATAATACATATATCTTGCTCTTTTCTTTTTAATCTCAACTTCGTTGTTTTTTTAAATAAAAGCAAAATCATTACTCATTCAATTGATATTAAAAAGAAATTAAAATTTGAAAAAATAGACATCAATGCTTTTATATAACAAAGTTAAAAGTTGGTGATTCACTATAATCTACATATATATAATGCTATGTGTGTTTTATATATATAAAATACATATGGTATTTTTAAGCAGCAAGAATTTCTCAAAAAACCGTTTGTTAAATTTAACTGATGCTGTCTAATGTTTTTATTGAATTTTTCCAGTTTTCAGATAAAATATCAGAATCAAAATTGTATATATTTGTTTGAAGTTTTTCTTCTGTTTTAACCATTACACATGATGTTACTGTGAATAAATAAAAAATACCAGATTGTAATCAACAAAATCTTGTCTACCACACTGCCAACATACAGTTCTTGGTAATGACTGAGATGGTCAGAAGTACTTGAACAAAATATGAATATATATATATATATATATATATATATATGCCTACACACCCAGACTCGTATATTATATAAAAAGTGTTATAACGTGCTTCATAGTGCTTATAATGTAAATAATGCTTCTGCCACTTGCCGTGATGCCTGTATTAATTAGTCTGAAGACTGATGCCAAACAGCTGCTTCTTCTTACCTCTGACCTGAAACTTTATTTATAGTTAAGGATTAGTTCATATAGTCACCAAGGGTGTACTATTTACTCCACAACATTACCCGCTTTTGGGATTACTACTTTTTATAAATATTTTATTTTTTATAAGTATTACTATGTCCCCCTCCTCTTTCTGGAGAGTTCCCAATGTACTTGACTTTATAGCATTTCCGTCTCGGATCCACTTCCACTTCTTCAGTATGCTTTCTTTTTCTGGAACTTTGGAGGTTCCATAACTTGCTGTGGTGCTGGCACATTGAAAATATCATATAGCATTTTTATTGATTCTTCAATGTTTCAGGTCTTTCATCAATGAACCTTTCTTTAAGCTGATTATGGTGCCTTTTATGTTCAGATCTTTTCCCTTTTACTGTGTAACTCTACTTCTTGATTCTCAATGATATTATGCTGCCTTCCCACATTTCTTTGCCATCCTTATATGCCCTAAAGAACACTTTATTGCCAACCTTGAAACTCTTGGTGTTGTTTTTGTTATCAGTTTGTTTTTCAGCTTGGTAATAACTTGCTTGTCAAACACTGATTTTACTTTTCTAGTAAACATTAATTCAGCTGGCAACATACCTTATGGTGTATTGGGGTTAGGTGTTACACGGTAAACTCTCAGAAAACTTTGAAGTGCTTCTTCATTTACTTTTTTAAGACTTGTTTTCTTCAGTGCTCTTTTGATCGTTCTCACAAGCCATTCCACTTATCCATTTGAACTTGGGTGATACAACAGGGTTGTAATATGTTCAATGAAGAACATCTTACAAAAGACTTCAAATTCTTTACCCGGGAATTGCATTCTATTATCAGAGTCTATGGTATCTGATATGCCATATCTCACAAGCAGTTCATGCAAGAAATTCACTGTCACTGAAGATGTTGGATTTTTGCACTTATAAATTTCTGATCATTTAGTAAAACTATCAATTACCACAGGATAATGTGATCTATTCATAAAACCTGCAAAATCTATATGCAGTCTTGACTATAGCATGTCTGTCTTTGGCCAAGGTTCTATCTTTGTGATAGGTAGTTTTGCTGCTGGAGCACAATCTCTGCAAGCTTTCACTATTATTTCAATATCTTGGTCCATTCTGGCTCAATATCCAAAACTTTTCATCAGAGATTTCTTTCTTGAAATACTAGGATATCCACTATGAAAATCCTTCAATATTTACTTATGTAACACACTAGGTATTACAACCCTTTCCCCGAACATTGCTACAGCATTGCATAGCATGTAAGACTTTAAGTTTGGATTTTGTTCTTTGTTACTTTCAATTGCTTTTTTATTTTTTACAATAAAGATCTCATTTTCTGCTTTTTCTTTTATTTCTTCCAGGGTAACTGGTAACTCATGTACTACGTTGCACAAAATGTTTTCTTTTAATTTTCATTTTGCTTTTTAGTGCATTTTTTAGGTATTAATCTTGATAATCCATCTGCATGTCCTAATTTTTCTAGACAGTTGGTACTCCATCATAAAATCATAGTTTAATAAGATGGTACCTCAGCATTGTAGCCATCAAAGCTCTAGGCTCCTTTGAAGGAACTTTTAAGACAAAAAAACATTTTGAGATTATTCCTATCACTCTTGTAGAAAAAATCATGGACTCCTGAGAATAGACATTTTAAAAGGAGATACAGCAAAGTTAATAAACTGTATAAAGTCAGAACTTAACATAGGACTATTGAAAGGATATAAAGTGAGTATTCATCTAAAAGAAAATAGTCACCCAATCTATTTTGAATCTCAAAAAATACCTATTCACATTCTATCCATGGTAGTTGCAAAGCTAAAGAAAATGGTAGAACAAGGCATATTGAAGAAAATTACCCAAGGTGGTAGCATTTGGGTTTCACCAGTTGTTGCGATGCAAAAACCCAATGGCGATTTGAGGATATGCAGAGATTACAAAGTAGGTGTGAGTCATCAGATATCCTCTGATTCATTTCCCTTACCAGACATAGAAACAGCGCATGATGAATTAGCAAGAATTAAATACTTTACCAAGATTGACCTGAAATCTGCATATAGCCAAATAGAAATTGACAAAAATTTAAAGAAGTCACTATAATAGGCTTACTAAAATGAACTCATCTTCCATTTGGAGTTAAGATTTCAAGCCATATTTTTCAAAAGGTAATTGAAAAAATTCTATCAGGGGGTAAAAAATATAATCATATATCAAGATGATATAGACGTAGGTGCTTGCAGTAAAGAGAAATTAAAAATACTGAAGAAGTTTCAAACAAATTAAAAAATGCTGGTATAACGATAAATAGTGATAAATGTGAGTTAAATTGTTACAAAATATTATATTATCTAAATATCTGAAGAAGTAATTTTCCCAAACAATAAACTGATTAAATAAAATGTCGGAAGTATCTACACCAAAAAATAAAAAAAATTAGAATCCTTTTTGGGATTGACCAATTTTTATAGCAAATATCTATCTAGATAAAGTGACCTAATTGAACCATTTGCAGAATTACTGAAAAAGAATACAGAATTTAAATGGGCTCAAAGGCAAAATATAGCTTTTGAAAGCTTAAAAAAGCACTAATAAGAAAAATGATTGCAAAAATCTTTGATCCAAAAACAGAAGTGACATTGACTACAGATGCCAATGAACATACTGTAGCCACAATTTTATCTCATGAATGTCATCCAATAATGTACCTGTCGAGAAAACAAAAGCTAACTACTCAAATATTGAGAAAGAAGCATTAGCAATAGTATGGAGCACTGAAAGTGCTTGAAATATTTTGTTAGGACAAAAATTTTTGTTAAAGACAGATCACAAACCTTTAGAGTTTATACTTAACCCCAGAAAGAAATTAGCAAAAGTTATATCTTGTAGAATCTTAAGATGTGCTTTAAAACTCATGGCCTTTGATTTCAATATCATATATATGTATATATAAAGGGAACACTATTCCAGACTAAATTTCAACAGTAAAAAATTATAAATGTCTGAAAATTCAGAAGATAAAACACTGCAATAAGTTGAAACAGATGTGTTACCCCAAATCATCTCAGTGGAAACCATACAAGAACCAGTGTCCTGTATAAAACACCAACTTACCACCCATAATCCAATGGAATCTCAGAAAGAATGGTACAAACTGTGAAAATAGGACTAAAAGCATTTTCCAAATCTAATGATAATATAGAAATTTACTTACCAAGATTACTGTTAACCTATAGGACAATTCCACATGCTGGTAAACTACAAAGTCCCTCCGCATTAATGGATAGACAGAGCTTCCATAACAGTATCATTTTCAACAAGTGTATGGTATAAAAAAAAGACAAAGAATCTAATCTAGAGAAGACAAACTTTTTAGTACAGAAAGGATACAACACAGTAATACTAACAGAAAATGGATAAAATGTATTGGCCCATGCAGACAAATTCAGAAGTGGAATGGAACCCGAGAACATAGAATGGATTAAGAATCTGAATGTGAAGAACATAAAGTAGAGAAGGGGACTAATGATTCAGTAATGAAACAGAACAAGCTATGAATATTAATGACCTGAAATCTGATGAGGAGTCAAAGGAGAAAAATGAACTCGGACCTAGGTCCCTTATAAGAAGAAATCAAGATACACACCAAGAACGACAGTTTAGATTCACAAGAATAATTAGAAGAAGTCAAATATCAATGAAAGGCATAAGACCATTTCAGTTCAGGGAGGCGTAGTAATGTATGTAAATGAGGTACTGCTATAAAAGCAGTACACCACAGTGAATGCCAGTTGAGCTACCATTCCAGAGAGCACTCTATTTCATAACAGTATCATTTTCTTTTTGTTGATTTTTTATATAATTCCATTATTACTGTACACATGAGGAAGCTTAGACAAACCTTTCAAGTTTGTATATAAATTTGTTTTTTGTTAAATCTATATTATCTTGTATATTTATAGGCAGATAAAGTGGATTCTTACCTCCATAACCAGTTGATCAAAACTGAACCAACCAAAGTGCACCTTGCCTGTTTTGGAACCTGGGTCCTCTACCACACCCTTTATGTGATGATCAACTACACTCTAGCTGGACTAGAGCTTGAACTGTATGCCCCGTATGAATACCATTACATTTTCTGGTAAGTATCAGTCAGTTATGTACCATGCAGGATAAATGCTTAGGTGATCATGTATCTTTCGATAGCAGAAAATAAAAAATAATTTTAGCATATTACACTTTGTTAGTTTAAGAAAGGTAATAATGCACAAAATGATTTATGTAACTCTTAGAGAATGTACAGTAAATTCTAGAATTTACAATGTTGGAGTGAGTTACTTTTTTTCCTTGGTGGTAAATCCATTTTGAAGTCTCTCTCTGTGTTTGCATCACTGAATCGACCTGCTTGAAGGAACAGACTTCTTAATGAATGATGCTCTACAATCAGATATAACCAGTTACAGTTGATAGCAATGAAATAAAGACATTACTTGAGAAATGGACTCAGTGATATATGATGCTTTTGTGATGTCAACGAACACTCGTTGCCACTTTCGTAATGCTTGTTGTAGTAGAGACTTTGTAATTGCAGATACAACAATAGTAATGCCGTTCAACAATACTGGTGTGAGGCGCCTTCAAATAACACTCGCACTAATAGTACTTGCTCAATAATACTCACTCGAAAAGTAATACCGTATAGTGATCTGAATAGTAATCTGTATAGTGATCACTTAGACGCCATGCTAATTCCCATATATACATTTCCTTTACCATCACATGAACTACTTATTCAAAATGGGATCACCTGTGTTTGCTCTCTGGTGATCTGTGTTCAAACTCCAGTGTCAGCAACAACACTTTATTCCTATATAACACCTCCCCCTTTGAGATGACTTCCACTGGAGTCTATACTTCTTCAGCTTCAGTTCAATAGTTAGAAATTCTGTTAGCATTCTTTTTCTTTTGCCATAAACCCTTGGTTCAATAACTCCTGATGGTATGGGTATGTTAAATGGATCATACAGAATTTCCATTGGTACCTCTTTTCAGGAACTTTTTAAATCAGTGAATCTATGTTTTAACTGATTAAGGTGTCATTTATATTCCCACCTTTGTCCCTGTACCATGTATGTCATTTTGCCAATCCATTTTTTTATAATGCCAACTTCCCAGAATTCCTTTCCATGCTGATACATCTTAAAAAATACCTTATCTCCAGGTTTGAAGTATCTACTTGTATTGTTATTTCTTGATGTTCTCACCTTGTGTTCTGGTAATAACTTATTGAAAACAGACTTAATCTTCCTGGCAAACATCAACTCTACAGGTGACATTCCAGACATGGTGTTCAGGTTTGGTGTTATTCTGTAAACACTCAGAAATTGCTGAATCATTACTTCTTCTGACTCCAACTTTTTTAGTGCCCCTTTTAGATGTATCAACAAACTGTTCCGCTTGTCCATTTGATCATGGGTGATAAGGAGTAGTTGTAATATGTTCTATTGCTAATGATTTGCAAAAAAACTTAAATTCACTAAACATGAATTAAGTCCCATTATCTGAAACGATAGTCAGAAACACCAAACCTCGCAAAAACTCATGTAGGAAATTTATCATTAACACAGTAATTGGGCTTCTACATTTTAATATTTCTGACCATTTTGTGTAATTATCAACTACCACTAGATAGTATGTTTCGTTTAACGGTCCTGTGAAGTCTATATGTATTCTGGACCATGGCATATTGGTTTTCAGCCAAGGTTGAATTTTGATAGGCAGTAACTATGCTGCCAGAGCACAATCTCTGCATGATTCCACTAAATTTTCAATACCTTCATCCATTTTTGACCAGTAAGTATAACACCTCATTAAGGATTTCATTCTAGAAATTCCTGGAAGTCCTCAGTGAAATTCTTTTAATATACATCTTTGCAATGATGCTGGTATCACCACTCTCTTTTTGTACATATGTACATCATTACATAATGAAAATGCATTATTTCCAATAATATTTTTTCCTTTAGATCTTAATTTCTCCTTCATTTTCATTATAAAATTGTCTTTTTTTCTGCCTTAAATTTTATTTCCTTCTGCTATTGGTTTACTTGTTCCGTCCTCATCACTTGCATCTGATGCAATCACAATCTTTAATTTAGGGTCAAAATGAGCTCTCAGATACTTTCTTTACATCTGTATGTTGCTTTTGGGTCTTACTTTTAATAAGTACTTCATCCAAATATGCTTGAGCACAATCCAAACTGGCAAGCATGGTATCCATTATCTGTTGGAATATGCTTGGTGCTACCTTTATACAGAAAGGAAGTTAGTTGAATTTGTATAACCCTCTATAAGTGTTAATTGTTAATAATTTTTTAGCAGTCTTCATTCACTAATCCTTGTAGGTAAGTGACTGACAGGTCCAATTTAGAAAAAAATTTACCTCCATTTAATTTAGCAAAAAATTATACTTGATTGTTTTAAACTTTCATTTAACCCCCATTGAAAAATCAGCACATACGTGGATTTTATTATTCCTTTTTTTAATGTAGACTGTTGGCTTTGATATCACACCTAATTTTTCTAGTCTGTCCAATTCCTTATTAATTGGATCTAAAGCTGCAAAAGGTACACTCTTATTTGGCTTAAATGTTGGTGTTACATTGTCTTTTAATTCAAACTTAGCTTTTGAATTCTGCATTTCCCAGGACCTGAGAAAACTCTTTTCCAGTTCATTTTTGAATTTTTTAAATGCTGTATTAGTATCGGGGTTAACAATATTTATCTTGTTGCAAAAAGAGTTAATTGGAAGGTCCCAAAGATCAAACAATGCAATCCAGTCTGTTCCAAACAAATTAGCAGTATTCTTTAATGCAAACACCACCGCTATTTTGGTTTTTCCCATGAAAGAAATGTTACAGCTGAATTCACCCAAAAAGCTCAGTTTCTTTCCTGAGACTCCATGTGCAACTTTATCAGAAGTCAATAAACTGGGTTTATCCATTTTTCTCCATGTCTGTTCATTTATTATAGTGATATTAGATCCTGTATCTAGTTACATTTTTATTTTTACATCATTAATTTGCACAAAAACAAATTTCCTCTTTTGAGATTTCTTGTTAATTTCTCTTTTAGGTTTCTTATCATTACTCCATGTATCTATCATGTTCACATATGTTTTATTTTTTCTCCATTTTTTGTATCTACAATACATACATTTGTGTCCTAATCTCCCACATTCAAAGCATTTTTTTGTTCTTAAAGAAACAATCACTTTTTAAATGCTTACCTTCACAACTGTGACAAGTATTAGGTATTGAGAGGGGTTTATAGTCTTTTTTACTGTTCTATTAGGATTTGAAAAACGTTTATAGTTTTTTCTCTTAGATGGTTGGACACTATGTAAATTGTCTTTTTTCTCGATCATTGCAGTATCGAGTTTCAAATTCACAATACATTGACACTCTTCCACTATTTTCTGGAGAGTTAATTTGGAATCCATTTCTAATTTAGCAAGTATCCTGGATCTTATCTCCATGTCCTTATGAGAAGTTAAACCCTGTACAAATATCAGGCATTTAAATAAATCAGGAGTTAATTCATTAACTTGAACTTTTCACATTCTCGATTCACGACTCCTGCATAAGTGACAAAATCTTCATTGTCGGACTTAAGTTAAGACATTGCCATTGTGTATTAAATAATGAACTCCTATCCCCCAAAATCTTTGATAGTATTAGAACAGTCTCTTCAAAATTTATCTCTCCTGTTTTTTTTGGCAAAATATAATTTACATATTTTTTATGTTCAGCAGGGGACAATTTCCTTAATAATAACTGAACTTTCTTTTTATCATTCCAATGTGAATAATCCCTTTTGAAGATCCCTCCATATCTTCTATAATAAGCTAGAAAAGTTATTCCTTCATCCTCATGTAAGTTCTCCTTGTCGCCACTTTCGTAATGTTCGTTGTAGTAGAGACTTTGTAATCACAGATACAACTATAGAACACCATTGAACAATACTGGTGTCAGACCCCTTTAAATAACATTTGCACTAATAGTACTTGCTTGATAATACTCTCTTGAAAGGTAACCACCAAATAGTGATCCGAATAGTAATCTGTATAGTGATCACTTAGACACCACACTACTTCTCATATATACATTTCCTTTGCCATCATGTGATCTACTTATTCAAAATGTGATCGCCTGTGTTTTCTTTCTGGTGATTTGTGTTCAAACTCCAGTGTCAGCAGCAACACTTTATTCCTATATAATAGATGCATTTTCTTGGATTTCCTCAATATCTTGAAAAATTGTTTTTCATTTTTGAAAAGAGGAAAATGTCATAAGAGATGATATCTGGTGAATGTTGTGCTTAGCCAAAAACTGCTGCACAATCCATGGTCATTGATGGCACTTCTGTAGTGTTGTGAGACAACCACACTCTACACACTTTCCTTCCATGTACTGCTATATATAAACAACAGAAGTGAGCAGGAATGTTATAACTTTGTGTACATACATGACAGATTTGAAGGTCAATTTAGCTCCATTATCATAGCACCAATCCCAATACTTTTTGATCAGACCTTGTATTTCCCTGTGCTACAAAACATGACAAATAATTCTTTATTTTCACCAGTTCAGAATTTACAACTGGAACAGGCCATACTACTTCCATGGAGTTGAATTACTCATTTCCTCTTTATTTCAAATGTAAGGAGAAATCCCCACTCAGACAGCTTTTTCCTAAGAACAGCTATTTTGTGGAACAAACTCTTGTGCGGATACTTCTCTAAACATTTCAATATTAACCTCTTCAAGTCAAGCATCAGTTATTATCTATCCTCCTTATCCTCACTTCCTACAACCTTCTCTTTCATTCATATCATATTCCTTATCATAAATATATATCTTCTTTACCAGAAACATTTTAACAATAGTATTCTGAGTGGCTCTTGAGCCTTATATTGTGTGAATCATAAGTACTAAAACAATGTTCTCTCTTGGAAACAAATTCTAATAAGTGATGGAAAGTAGTTAATTACTGCAATGGGGTAAATGACATCAGCTACCATTAACCATACCAAAAGCTTGTTTTCATCTAAATATAATTTTATATATCTGGTAGAATCAGAAGAAACTCCTTCACTCAAAGCTCTTTGCAGTAAACCAAATGATTTATTCAAATACTGGTTTTAATTAGTTCAGTTCAATTGAAGAAAGCATTGAATGAAAAGAATCAAGAATTATTCTAAAGAAATATTCCATCAGGATAACATTAGACCAAATGTTTCTATGGTGATCAGGCACTATTATACGTTATCTGGAAAGTTTTCCCTCATCTGCCATATTCTCTAGAGATTGAATTTTCAGAATATCATTTATTCCCCTCTTTATACAATTCTCTTAATAATAGAAAAAATTTCAATTCTTTGAAAGATTGTTAAAAACATCCAGAGCAGTTCTTTCATGAGGAAGATGAAAAGATGTGCAAAGATAGAATTATAAAGTTGCTTGAAATATTGTAGAAGATAGCAGAACAAAATGGTAAATATGAAATAAATTCAATAATGTCAATAATGAATTAAAAATTATATCTTTTATTTTTACGTAATGACCCAAACAAACTTTTCATCATTACACTGTATATGTATAAATTACTAATTCTTTTTGTCTATCACATTGCTAGGATTGTTTTATTCTACTACTAAAGAGGAACTCTTATCAGTATTTTTGACAAGAAGAGAACCAAGACAATCATTTTAAAAGTGGTTACAGACATTTTTTTATTTTAAATGAATCCTAATGTTGCTATATTTGTAACCATTGTAATGCATTAGGAGGACATCATTTTATATTGGTGTCGTTCAAATTTTGCCACCAGTCAAGAAGCAGGGCTATGAAGTCTGTATATCAAATCTTGAATTCCTTTGTTTTTCTACTATCCTATTACAATTCTTTCATAAATGGTAAATGTATTTTAATTGGTAATAAAATCTGCACTATGTTCCAAACACTGATACAAAAAATGTTTTCCATCTTGAATTATACTCAAATATGGATAACTTTATTAGAAGTTTTTTTAAATATTGGGAATTTAAGCTTTTAAATTCATCTGTCAAAATTACAAATACTTTTACAAGTATTAATGCTGAAAATTGTGGCTTAATATAAAAAATATATCATTGTTGTACCAAAAAGGCCTACCAAAAAGTCACTTTTCTTTCAATACCATCTGGTCTTGTGCTTTTGTTATGTGTTTAGAGATTCTTGATAAAAAAGAAAGAAGCATCTGCAATGTTATTAGTTCTGACCTAGCATCTTGGCTTCAGTCACTTTCCCACCACCATAATGTAGCTTCCCTATGCCTTTTCCATAAATTTCTTCTATCAACCTATTAGCCTTCTACCTCTTTTTGGTAAAGTACTAGAGGTTCTAAACAACTTTGAATTGGTTAAGCATCCCACCTCACAAGGTCTTCTTTCAGATAAGCAATATGGCTTTCACTTCTCTTGGTCAACTGCTGTACTAACAATTATTGCTGAGTCTATCATGCTTTAGACAAGAATGGTGAACCTCAGGCTATTAGCTTTGGATATCTTGAAAGCATCTGACAAGTTTAGCATACTGGTCTTCTTCACAAGTTGAAATTTTATAGTATTTCTGGACAAATTTTTGAACTGATTCATTTTTTTTAATCAAATCACATAATGAAAGCCATCTTGAATGGCCCCCTCTTCTAGATCTTTTTGCATTAATGCAGGTGTCACCCTGGGCTCTATCCTTTAACATGTTCCTAATTTTCATCAATAATTTTCCTGATGTCATCAGTGCTCAACTCAGTATTCATACTGATGGCACAACTATTTACTTTTGTCTGATCGGTTCAATGAGATCAAACTGGCAGTTGATCTAAAAAAAAAAAATGACTTAAAATCTGTTCTTAGCTAGGTCAAGGAATGGCTTGTTAATTTTAACACCTCCAAAATGAAACTGCTCTCTTTTAATCACCTGTGAGAACATTTAGTTCCTTTGATTGATATGGCTGATGCTAACCACAAGGAGAGTGACTCATTGCACCTTCTCAAATTAACATTTGCTACAGATTTGCTACTGAAGTGGAAATATTATATTCAATCAATTGCTAGGTCTTCTGCTAGTTGTTTCACTGTGTTGTGCTAGACAATTTTTCTTGCCAGAATCTATCTTATATATTTATAAGTCTACCATTCATCCATTCTTTGAATATTGCAACCACATATATCTGGTCTGGTGTTTCTGTTATATATTTAGAGATTCTTGGTAAAATCCAAAGAAGAATCTGCAATGTTATTGGTTCTGACCTGGCGTCTTGGCATTAGTCATTTTCCCACCACCATAACTTATCTTCCCTATGCTTTTACTATAAATATTCTCATGGTAATTGTTCTGATGAACTTTCCTCTATGATACCTAAACTTTATGAATTTAAGCACAATACTAGGATTGGTGGCAAAGTCTCATCATCTTACTGTTGAAATGAACTTGATGTAACCGTAAATTCTATACTAGCAGTTTCTTTACTCTCACACTTCTCACTTATGAAACTCACTTTAGGCTTCTTACTTCCCAGTCAACTTTGATCTTTAAAAATTTAAATGCAATGTCAATTGTTATTTTCTGTCTTAATTCCTGTTGTTTTTTCGTTCTCTCTCTCTCCCCTTAATGATGTTTTGTTTTGTTCTTTGTTTTATTCATATTCTCTCACACTCAGTAACCCCTTGTGTTTTAGTGGCTTTATTGCCTTGCTTGTGGTGAAATGATATAAAAAATACATAATCATCTCAAAATTGTCTCACTTGTTTTGTTAGGTATCTGCATGAAATGTTGTATGCCTGGATGGTTTCTACTCTGATCAGAGCTGACAGCTTTTTGATGGAACATGAAGCTCAAAATGGTAAGTCGATTCAATACTGAATTTAACAAGAGATAATCACAATAAAATGTATATTTCTTTGGTTGGATGGGTAGTAAAATTTAAAATGAAACATTACTTTCATTATACAAGAGAATCATTTTAAAAATTTAGTGAAAGTTTAAGCACTGTTATAATTATTGTGGTAAAAGTATGTTTTTCTTTTACTGTGTTAGTTAATTCAAGTAAGTACTTGACTTTTCCTGTTATCCTCTACCTTTAGTAGAACCTGATGAGGCCCTACAACCACGTTCTCACTGAAGTAACAGTGCAAGCCTCTTGCTGTTCTACCATATTTCCATGGAAAACATTCAGCTGAACTAAATACCTTAGTTCCACCAGTTCTAGCTTTCATGGCTAAGACTACCATGCCACACATATTGTAGCGGATCACCCTTTGTATTCCATTGGTGAGATATAAGTTCCGCTTGAGCAGTTTCCCACACACCGTTGCTTTATGGAACCAACTCCCATGAGGATACTTCCCCAATCACTATAATCTTGGCTTGTTCAAGTCTAGGGTCAACTGTTATCTTTCCCACATATTCCTATAAACTCTGCCTCTTACTCAGTAATCCTCTACTTTCAGTGGTTCTTGGGCCTTGTACACTTATTAATTTTGATAAAATACTGATATTTTTATAAATGAAGTTATGCTACAGATATTGTTCCTTATATAATCTGGTTAAATTTAAAATGACAAATGTTTGATAAGGCATATTTTTATTTGTTTGCAAATGTTTCAACATTAATTAGTTGTTGCCTTTTTTTAATCATTTCATTCCAAGGAAAGCAAAAAAATTACTAAGACACAAGAGGTTGCCAAATATTAGAGAATGTGAAAAAATACTATTAAGGAGAGAGAACAATAAAAAGAACAGGAATTAAGAAGACAGAAGATAACAATTGACATTGCATTTAAATTTTTGAATATCAAATTTGAATGGGAAGCAAAAAGCTAGAAGAGCGTTCCACAAGTGAGAAGTGCAAGAGAAAAAAACTGTTAGCATAGAACTTACTGTTACATCTAGCCATTTCAACTGTAAAATGGTGATACTTTACTACCAATCTAGTATTGCGCTTAAAATCATAAAGTCTAGGTACCATAAAGGAAGGTTCATCAGGACAATTACCATGAAAGTATTTATAGAAAAGGCAGAGGGAAGCTACGCTATGGCGATGGAAGAGTGATCAAAGCCAAGATACCAGATCAGGTCCACAATAACATTGTAGATTCTTCTTTGGATTTTATCAAGAATCTCTAAATATATAGCAGAAGTACCAACCAGATGTAGCAGCAATATTCAAAGCATGGATGAATGGTAGACTTATAAATATGTAAGATAGGTTCTATCATGATAAATTGTCTAGCACAATATGGTGAACCAATTTTCCTAGCAGCTGACTTAGCAATTGATTTAATATAACCTTTCCAATTCGTGTCAGCAGAAAAATTTAGTCTGAGGAAGCAAAATGAGTCACTCTTCTTGCAGTTAGCAGTGCTTTGATTAAATTATCTTTCATCTTCTGTCCACATCTCTGAGATGAGGTATTATGATTATTTACATTATTCAGGCTGTTATCCTCATCTTCATTGCCATATTCACAACGTTTCAGCTGTTGTACACTCTGGCCTTCTTCAGGTTATTGGAATTTCAAACTGAGCCCTTTATTTCGTCCACTGGGGTAGATTGTTCTAGTTCCACGTGCCATGTCTCTTCCAGATGTCTTCCACTGGGCCATGTGTCCTCAAAGATTTGTGAGTTCAATACCAGGGTACAGCAGTAGTGAACCCAAAAACTTGGAGAATTGAGTTAAAGGGAAATAACTGAGGCATCTGGTAGAGGCGTGGCACATGAAACTAGAATAATCTACCTGGTGGATGAAATGAAGGGTTTGGTTTGAAATTCCAATCACCTGAAGAAGGCTGGAGCATACCACAGCTGAAACATTGTAAATATGACAATGAAGATGAGGATAACAGTCCGAATAATGTAAATAGTCTTTCATCTTATTTCAACTGCTTTTTAATGCTATACTCAAGTCCTTTTACATTCTAAAACCATTAAATAAGAAAGTTAGATAAAAAGAAAGAAAGACTTAGAGAATGCAAGTTCTAATCAAATTGGTGGCAGCTACTTCATTTCTTTTACTTATTTATTACTTATTAGTAGCATAATGGACAAATATAAGCAATGAGGAGGTTTTAAGGAAATGAAAATGCAACTTATACTTACAATCAGATGGAGACAGTTAAAATTTCTGGGACACAATGGGAAAGGGGGGTTTGGAGAATCTAACACTCACAGGACTTATTGAAGGCAAGAGGGCATAATGAAAGAGCAAATAAATGTTTAAATAGATGATAAAACATGGACAGGGAAAAATAGTAAAAAGACAAATATTGCTAAGAACTATGAAAGATATGTGGATAGCCATGATCAACTTCATTCTGTAGTGAAATGGTACATAAAAGAAGAATGTAAAATGATTTGATCAACTTCATAAAGGATAACAAAAATATGATGACAGATGAATTTGTCTAAATTTAACAATGAAAAAATGCATTACCAGAATATTTGGGCAGATTAAACTTTTATTATCTTCTGCTTCCAAACCTTAACCAGAATTCTAAATATATTTTGTTTCCAGACCAGCAAGTAAAAGGAAGAAACAACAGGAAAAATAAGAAAAAGAAGCGGACCAAGACATTAAGCCGAGAAATTACTCTGAACCAAGGGCATCAGCAGCTCTTTGGAGGTTATCATAAGGTAAAACTCAAGATTCTTTTATCTTCCCGCAACCTTTCTTAATCCTTTTTTATATATATATATATATATATATATATATAATAATGGACTCTCCCATCCGTTTCGATGTATGAGGATCTGACAGCTTATTGATTCAGTTATGAAAGTTTGTGTGATAATCTTAAGTAGCATTTAAGACTCACTTACCCATTTACAAAGGAGGCCACATATGGAGCAAGTGTGAGGATTGTGAGATGAGATCACTGTTAGATTGGCTGACCGTTTACATCTTGCAAATATATATATATATATATATATATATATATATATATATATATATATAAAATTAATACAAGTAAAATGTTTGTCACTTAGCTGACTGATGTTACCTTCAACATCCTGACTCTAGAGTTTCATAGACAAACCCTCCAGGAATCACTCCATCCTCTCATCAGGAGGTATATATGCAGAGCCAGTGCAAAGGTCTTGTGGGCCCTCACTAAATCTATGATGTGGGGGCGCGCTCTACTACATCTCAAATTTCATAAGGCAGTATTTTATTGTAACCTAATTATGTACAATAATCGATCATTTGCAATATAATGAACAATTTAACTAGAAAAATTAAAAATAAATCCAATGTATGTAAATACAAATTAGAGACATGTCATAATAGATCATTACATCTTGAATAAATCAACAATGAAAAAAATAGTGAATTTTGTGTTTTGCTTTTCAGACTTAGCATGAGCAAAAACAAAAATTCACAAATTTTAGAAAAGGTAAAAAAAAAAAAAACATTAAAATCCATGAAAATTTTGTTGTCCTTAAATAGTACTTCCTTTAATTTGTAACATATATAAATGTAAGTAGAAAAAAAAAATGTTGATAAGATAACAAGGAGCCCAAAGCACTGCAAGGATTGGAAGGATTAGCCTTCTCCCACCCAAACAGAAGGGTGAGGGAAGTACACATGGGCAGGAGGAGATGCCCTATATATATATATATATATATATATATATATATATATATATATATATATTATAAATTAATTGATTTAAAATATGGTTATTTTTCGCTACACAGTTCCAACCATGTTTCAAAAATAGAAGCTAAAACCCCTAATTTTATTTTTTGCAAATAAATTAAAAGCATTAGTTCTATTTCATCTTCAAGCGAATTTTGGAGTAACTTTTAAAATTTACCGGGTTTTAAATACACAGCTAAAATCACATTTCCATGGTTACAGAATATTCTACTCAAATTGAACACGGGGTGTCTAGATTTTCCTTATGACAGTATCATTGTATCAGTTATTAGCTACATTTTGGTAAGGGGTGAGGATGTATTTTACACTGAAACCTGACGTCAGTTGAATGGATGTCGTCTGAATTTAAAAAAAAAAAAAAAAAAAAAAAAAAATTGTTAACGGTAAAAATTTTCATCTTTTGAAATTAAAGATTTTTTTTTACAATACTTTTTATTTAACTACGGTTTGAAATATTTTCCTTTTTTATTTTTATTTTACTATATTCTTTTTTAAGAACAGTTAAATGTATTAGAATCCATTATATTATGTAGGATTATTTTAACATTAAGTTTAAGTATGTATATGAGGTTACATTTTTTTTTTTTTTTTTTTTTTTGTATATGACTATGACAGCAGAAATGGTTACTTAATTTCACTGATTCAGTAAACTTTTCTTTTATATATAAACCTATTATAATATTTCACATGTAAGTACTGAGGACATGGGTCATTCAAAAAGTCATACATGTTATGGTATTCATATTAATTTTATTTTACTATAGGTGTTATTTTTTTGGATTCTTTTTTTAATGCGTGTAGTATTATTTAAAAGAAATTTAGGTTAGAATTCATTCAATTTAACTACAATTTTAATTACAAATTCAAAATTACAACTTTAAAATTTTAAAATATTTTCATTGTTTAGTTTTAATAGACTATATTACTTTATAACAGAAGGAAAATTACTCATATTAAGTAAGATTATTTTTCCATATCAAAGTATATGTAAATTTTTTTTTTTTTTTTTTTTTTTCTTTTTTAAATTTAAATATTATTTAAGTAATATTAATGGAACTTACTACAAAACTAGCTAAGTCATTTCTCAGATTTAGTAAACTTTATTTATTTATTAATTAATTAATTTATTTATTTCAAATATATGTAACCTAATTAATAAAGTTTCATATGTATGTATAAATAACATTCATAAATTCATTTTATTTTACTACAATTTTAATTTCAATTTTAAAATTATAACTTTAAAATTTTAAAATATTTTCATTGTTAGTTTTAATTTAGACTATATTACTTTATAACAGAAGGATAATTACTCATAGTAAGTAAAAAATTTTTTTTTCCTATCAAAGTATATATAAATTACAATTTTTAAACTTTTAATTTAGATATTATTTAAAAGTAATATTAATGGCCCAACTACAAAACTATCTAAGTCATTTCTCAGAATTAGTAAACTTTATGTATTAATTCAAGTTTAAGTATGTATATGAGGTTACATTTTTTTTTTTTTTTTTTTTATATATATATATAAACCTAGTGATATAATGTTTCTCATGTAAGTACAAAGGACATGGGTCATTCAAAAGCTTACATCTTATGGCATTTCATATTAATTTTATTTTACTATATTTGCTTTTTTTTTGGATTCTTTTTTAGTGCGTGTAGTATTATTTAAAAAAGAAACTTAGGTTAGAATTCATTCAATTTAACTTTAATTTTAGTTTCAATTTTAAAATTACAAACTTTAAACTTTTGAAATATTTTCATTGTTAGTTATATTAGACTATATTACTTTATAACAGAAGGAATATTACTCATAGTAAGTAAAATTATTTTTCAATATCCAAGTATATGTAAATTACAATTTTTAAACCTTTATATTTTAAAATATTATTTTAGTAATATTAATGGAACTTCTCTGTAAATTTACATTGAGCACTATTTTGTAAAAATAAAATATCTATAAGAACACCGGATTTTATATCTTACTGTTCTTTCTTTTTATTTATATACATATATATATATATATATATATATATAGTACAGGTAATCGATCCATTGGTACATAATCCGGATGTATCCTAGTAATATTAAAACTGATCCACAGAGAGCTTGAAATATTTATTCTAACAGAGCATATGTATTTTTTACTGCAAAAAAACAAAAATAACCTCAACATAGTATAGTCTATTTCAAGCCATTCTGTACATGGCTATCATCAGCCCCTAAGTGTCTGTCTTGGAGCATTGTTTTAAATTTATTTTCAATGTCAGTCTCCCTCTGGTAGATGCCTTGTTAATGGGAATGGGTTTGTGTTAGTGATTGGTGGAGGCATAAGGTTTCTTATCGTTGGGGTGGACATACACATATATGTATGTATGAAGATATATACGCATATAAGTATGTTGGACAGCATGATTTGTTCCATTGGGTGCTCTGGTATTACTCATAATCTATAAATCTATAATTCAACTAATTTACATTAATCTTAACAGGTTTAAGTTTAAATCCCCCATCGCTTATTAATAATATTGGACACCTGTAGTACAAAAACTATTTACTGTGAATCCCAGAAAAATACACTTGGGGCTTTTATAAGAAACGCCACATAGTAGGAACTGATATTAAACTACAAACAACGAAAGGTCCTGGCCATAAATAAACTCCAACCCAAGACCGCTTCCCCCAGGATAAGATACCTTATGCCTCCACCAATCGCTAACACAAACCAATACTCATTAACAAGGCCTCTACCAGAGGAGGACTGGCATTGAAAATAAATTTAAAACAATGCTCGAGACAGACACATAGGGGCTGATGATAGCCATGTGCAGAACAGCTTGAAATAGACTATACTATGTTTAGGTAATTTTTGTTTTTTTGCTGTAATATATATATATATATATATATATAAAATCCGGTGTTCTTATAGATATTTTTATTTTTACAAAATAGTGCTCAATGTAAATTTACAGAGCATTAATATTATAAATTAATTGATTTAAAATATGGTTTTTTCCGCTACACAGTTCCAACCATGTTTCAAAAATAGAAGCTAAAATATATATATACACGCACATAAATTTCTTCTCACAGTCCTTTAATATTTCTTCATTTTCTCTTTATTTTAATCTTCTGTCTCATCTGATATTTCTTCTGTTCTTTCCAGTTACTTTAGTTTGTCACTTTTGAAATTGCCCATCTTCTTCCTCCTTTTCAAGTATTTATTCTCCTACACACACCTTCGGCCTTACCACAATTCATCATCTTGTCACCCTATTATCATCTATTGACCCAGCTATTGTTCAACAATCCTGTACCCTCCTCATCCTTGCTTACATTAGAGCTCCATTTATCTCTGCCTCCTGCTGTCTGCAAGTACAGTAACCTTTCCATTTCAATATTCCCTACTTATCATCATCATCATCATTGTTCTCCCTTGTGTCAGCCTAACCAGACATTGTCTGCTCCACCAAAGTGCCTTACCCTGTCCTATATTGTCATAGTTTCCAGTTATTAGACCTGAACTTTTCATGTGAATCTGCTGATTTTTATCACCCTGAGAATTTCCAAGAATGCTAGTTTAGCACTTTAGTTAATCTAAACTTTTCTAATATTACAAAATAAGTTAACCCATTTGCATATCAAATTGTCAGGGGCTTTGTGTGTTGAATTTTAAACCAAATCCTCAACCGATTTAAGGTAAAAATTCCATCAGTTATATGTAAGATTTATTTGAAAGTGAATGGTTTAAATATTGAGCAATGATTATGATAAAAATCTAAACTTGAAAACTTTTGTTTATTTATTTATTCAAATGATTGAACAATCTAAACAGTTAACCTCCAACCAAGGAAAGGCTTATGGTCATATCATGTTGAAATACCAGTTCCCATACGACCACCAAAGTTAAGCAATGTCAAGCCTAGTCAGTACCTAGATTAGTGACAGCTTGGGAATACCAAGTTCTGTA